AGATATGGCACAAAAACGGCTTATTTCAGAGTTGGACTGATAATGAGAGACTCAAGTTCAATTTCCTACTAGGCAATGACATTCACCCTGAGATTTTTGGAACAGGTCCTCTCTCACAGGGTTTTGGGAAGAACAAAAATGTCTGCCCTCACCAAATAAAGGAAGACAAAAGGAATATACAATGTAAATCTGTCTGTTGAAAGTTGACAGAAAGGTTTTACATTTGCCTCCAAGTATTGGATAGCATTCCTTGCCAGCCTAGTTAAAGTTTTACCTTTGTTCCCATGCATAAATACACAATAGTTTGACGCTGCAAATGAAACTAACATAGGCACTATGTTAGAGTTAATTCTTTCCTACCTTAGTTGAGCCACTTAACCTCCCATTCTCCCCTAATGAAATCCTTGTCACTTTATAGATTGAAGTCAAGCTTTCTCTTTTCCTAGAGCGCAATTTTATTAATTGGATTAATGCACTGTAGTGATTAAAGGAAATAACCCAGGAATTAATGGTATCAGTATTACACTCACCAAGGTATAATGGTTAAGGTGTTGGAATAGGACCGAGAGTAATTCTTTCTCAACTAGATCCTATTTTACAGTTATTGTTGTGGGGGGATGGGCAATGTAGGAAGGAATGCTATACTCCCAGTTCAATGGCATCTTTAAGATGGGTGGGCTTCAACTTCCATAATTTCCCAGCCTGCATGCATGCCTCTCTCTCTCTCTCTCACACACACAGAGAGAGAGAGAGACTGAGACTGAGACTGAGACTACAGCTAGTCCCTGCGGGCTCCAAGTTCAACCAGAGCCCCTCAGCTCCGAATATGCCTCGCAGCAAGTCAGCTGGCCTTGTCACCTTATCTCTGCTGCTGCCGGATCTGTATTTCTGCTTGTGTGCTGGCTGATGGTTTTGGAATGACACAGCAGAGTTGAGGATGTCCTCAACTTACAACCATAATTGAGCCCAAAATTTATGTTGCTAAGCGAGACAGTTAAGTGAGTTTTGCCCTATTTTACAATCTTTCTTGCCATAATTGTTAAGTGAATCACTGCAGTTGTTAAAGTTGGTGGCATGGTTGTTAAGTGAATCTGGCTTCCCTATTGACTTTACTTGTCAGAAGGTCAGAAAAAAGTGGACATTTGTATGTGGGACATTGCAACTATGAGCCAGTTCCCAAACATCTGAATTTTGATCAGATGACTGTGTGGATGCCACGATGGTTATAAATGTGAAGAACATTCATAACCCTTTTTTCAATCTGTAACTTTGAATGGTCACTAAATGAACTGTTGTAAGTTGAGGGCTACCTGTAAAATTTATTACTTAATTACACTAACTAGCCACAGTGTGCGACCAATTGACATCGAAATGTACTTGCCAGCGGGTATATCTCCCATTACAGCAACTTTCTCCTATGGGATTATAATTCCCATAATCCCCAACTCATAACCCATGCCCCCACAGGCTGGAAAGGACTGAATCTGTTGATTTGGAGGGCTCTGGGGTGAGAAAGCAGATCTAAAGCATGTCTTCACTAATATCATAGATAATCAAGAAGGTGACACAGTTCGTGTTTTCATTGTTTTCTACCTCTTCTACAGCAATTGCACGTGTAATGTTAATGCAGATAGGAGTCATATTGATTTATGGTGACTCCCAAAGTTCAACCAGGCAAAGCAGCTAAGGTAAAAAGTTAATCAGTAGACACGTCTCTGATTTCTCCTGGTGCAGTTAAAAGAGCAGGTTCCCCCCACCCCCCACCCCCCGTTCATCTGGGTTGCAGATGAAGCAGGCATATTTGGATTTCTTTTTTGAAATAGACTGTGAATTTTGTTAGCTGTTTTGAGTTTATTGAAATGTAAACATTTGGAAACATTTATGTCATGCAATTATTGTAAGGACAGTTCTTATGGATTTCTAGAGAAAGAGGAAGAGGTGAAACTGTCTTATGGTTGTTTATTTCCTCTCTTTATTTGGAAGACTGTATTCTTTACAAATTGCCATGTTCTGCGCTTTTCATGTGCGTGCTTTACCCAGGGAGCCAATGTGCAGTCTGGAATGTTGCAGGGCTTCTGACTGGATGACCTGCCAAAGGGTGTTATTTAGTGACTAATTTGCAAGAGGAGGAGAAACTGAGATGTTTATTGTGGGAGAAAAGTACTTTGGGCTACTGGTGCAGTGCTGTTTGAAGGACTGAGTGAAGCAAGCAGGGCACTCTTCAGACCAACGTGACAAGTCTTTTTTGATACCAACCATTCTGAAGAAGATGAATGCAGGAACATTTGTCTTTCTAGATGGAGACTTTGTAGATTGAAAAGCAAAACGTTGCAACATGTGGGATACAGTGTAGTGATTATCTGATCTACCAGAAAGACTTGCTTAGTTTAAAGTAAGTGGATTTTTTCTTTTCTTTTCTTTTCTTTTCTTTTCTTTTCTTTTCTTTTCTTTTCTTTTCTTTTCTTTTTTCTTTTCCTTCCTTCCTTCCTTCCTTCCTTCCTTCCTTCCTTCCTTCCTTCCTTCCTTCCTTCCTTCCTTTCTTTCTTTTTGGCAAAGAAAAAAGCTTGGGAGAAGAAATACATTGGCAGTTTGGATATGCTGCTTTTTCAATATTTCTTCAACAACAGAAGGAGCTAATAAAGGGATTGAGAAAAGTTGATCTAAAAGGTCTGCTTCAAAAGAATACTGGATGGAAGGAACAAAGTTGTGTATGCGTAGATCTATAATTAACAGAAGGCTACTCACAACAATAATAGATATTGCTTTTTTAGAGAGGAGAGATTGTACATTTGATTTCAGTATATAGATTTAATTTCAGTATATAATTAAGTTACTACAATATGAACACAATTTGGTATGACTGTATTTCCTTCTGAAATAATAAGTTTGGTAGTTGCTAAATACATACATGTTAAATATACAAACTGATGTGAAATACTGATATATCTTTTGAAAACATACCTCTGAGGAGAAAAGGGATACACACACACACACACACACACACACACACACACACACACAGCAATGAAATGATTGAAATATGTAAACTGTAGTAAATGAAATACTGTTATACAGTACACATATAACATAACACAGAAATGGGAAGGTGTTTGAACTTTATGCAAGTTTGTGTGTGCAAAGGCTCTGGCCAATTATGCCAAGATGAATATTCATCTGGGTAGAATTAGGATCTATAGGTTATCAGTTGACTACTATTTTCTACAAGATGAACTTCTTAGAGAAACAATTTTCTGCCTGGCCGACAGTTGATAACTCACCATATAATAGGGTATAGTTGTATATTATGTTAAAAGTAAGGACATCCAAACTGGTCTCAGCTTCCTAACAGATGTATTGCAGATAGTACACAATACACTTTGGCAAGGCTGGTGCACTGCAGGTAAGTGTCATAACTGACAATCCAAAAGTCTTTTCTTTGCTGGAAGTTTATGTGAATCAAAGCAATGTTTTAGTCCAATTAGTAAAATGCAGAGTGCCATTCAATGAGGATTTAACAGACTGGTCAGGAACTGAATGTGAGTCAGGGAAGAGGGAATTCTATATAGATGGGCTATCCCTGAAATACTCTATTTTCTGTGCTAACTAATCTAATTAATTTGGAGGTACTGATTTTTTGTTGATTTTTTAAAATAAATGTATTATTTTTAGAAATGTAGATCTAAGGAGAAATAAATAGTTGAAAGTGGATGAAGATAATAACATGACCCTTAATCAGCACATTTAAAAAAGTTAGGATTATCCATGGATCCCTTATGAGGTGTTCTTGCAGTAGATAGATGGGGTCTTGTTGCATGATTTATGGGAAAGCCTGAAATAATTGTGTGTACATCACAATTGACTTGAGAAGCTTGATTGTACTGCTTGATGTTTATTTGAAATAGTACTTCATATCTGCTACTACACCTTATTTCTTGCTTATTTTCGTAGTTGCTGCAGTATTAGCCTACCAGTGCTTAAGGCTTTGACCTTTGGCCAGAAGAGTCCTTTATAGTCTCTGGCTCTGGAAAGGAGTTTAATAGGAACTGTAATTGTATATTCTGGGCTGGGAATTGACATCAGAATAAAAGCAAACTTATGAATGGGGAAGGAAGAGGTCGCAATTCTGTGTTTTGGTAGCAGTGCAAAGAATCTTCCAAAAAAACTACCCAGTGGGGAACATCCTCTCTTTGTGTTAAAATTGTAAAAAGTTGTTTTGCTAAGTAACATCACCATGCAGCATGCACCACATCCCAGTGAGATGGATATTATGGGGATTTAACCACCAGAGCATTGTTCTTAATTTGCAGCTAAGATTAATCTAATATTATTCTTATTAAATAAAACATGTCAACAGTATTTGTAAATCACATGTACAAATTTCCAGAAATAATAGAAGGTTCAGAACTTCTTCTCCAAGAAGTGTGAGATTTTGCCACTCAGAATGCTACTGTGCATGATAGCTGGAAGGGGTTAGTGGGCTAAACTGACCTGGTATGAACCCAGATCTTCAACACATGCCTAGATAGAAGTCATCTGGTATTGAATTGACTTATTCTCCTCAAGACTTACTCCAGAATCCAAAAGGGGATTCTTGTTTTGTTAGCCAATTCAAATCTGATTTAAAAATCAAGAGTCCCCACCTTTCTTTCTTGTCTCTTTTATCTCTTAAAGTACACACAATGTAACAGATGGCTTATTCAGGGGGAAGTTACCTAAAGTGTGAATTTTGGTCTCTGAACGGCAACAAATAGCTTTTTGAAATCCAAGTAATGTAGCTATATTAATACATTACTTCGTAGATGTAAAAATAAACTATTTCTCTTTGGGAAAGAGTCTTTAGTACTGTTGATATTTGGCATTGGGGTTTTTTGTGTGATCTTACTATTTTGCAGGTAATGAAAGTTTGGATAATGATGATGATAATGATCTTGTTGTATCATCACCGTCTATTGACCAAAAAGGAGCAAAAGCCTTTCTAAGTCGGTTTCTTTATCTTGCAGATGCAGAGAGAAATATTCCCAAATACTTCTCGGCCAGGATCTATTTCACATCCTCCTCATGCACTTCCAACCTCCCCTCCTCCTATGGCAGTGCCACACTCAATGCCCCCTTCTCCATCCCGGATCCCATATAGTGGTAGGCCAGTCAGTGGCCCTGGCAATGCGACCATTCCCCGAGATAGGCTTTCTAACATCCCTGGATCACGGTCCATCTCACCAAGCCCAAGTGCCATCTTGGAAAGGAGGGATGTGAAGCCAGATGAAGACATGGGCAACAAGACCCTTACTCTTTTCCGAAATGAGGGGCTGTATGCTGATCCTTATTTGTTCCATGAGGGCAGGATGAGCATTGCGAGTTCACATACAGGACATTCCCTGGATGTACCCGATCACATCATTGCCTATCATCGTAGCACAATGAGGTCTTCAGGCACTTACTGCACTCCTCCCGTGCAAGCAGAACTTGTGGAGCAATCACTCTATCGACAGAAACCAAGGAAGTATCCTGAGAGCCTTTTGCCAACTCTGAGTTCCAAAACACCTCCTGCCTCTCCTCACCGAGTGGCTGACATTCGAATGATAGACATTCATACACACCAAGTGTCACCGCACACCATTCACCTTGATAGGTCATCCCCTGGTCGACAGTCTCTCAAGAAAGATCCGGGCACTCCTGTCTTTGTGGAAGGGAAAGCTCAAAATGCCCTAGGTTTATCTGGCATGGCTGAGGTGGCCCCTGTGATTCCTGACAAAAAGGTTTTTGGCTATGGAACAGCAGTAGTACCAAAAGAGAATGAAACCAGGTAAGATGAAGTAAGGTGCTCTGGATTTAAGCCAGATATGTATTTAGAATGTGACCGATCAAATGAACATGTTGCATCAGGCATTTGAAGAATCATCATTATGTCTGGCCTTTGACCCAGAGTGGAGGTTTCAAAAGATCACTATAGAAACTATACCTTCCTTTTAGGTCCTGGAATGTACCTAATGTACATTCCAATACCTAAATGTGTCTTTTAGCAGACACTAACACATTGCTAACGATAGTTTGGAAATGACAATCTGGACCAAAGTACAGATGACACTGAAAGTGGCATTTGCAGTTATTCAAAATATATTTATTTAATAGGAGATATGGAGAGAGGATCACATTTTATCTCCATAACCAGGATTGCAGTTCTGATCCACAACACGCATATTGCTATTGGCTTTGGGGTTGGGTGGTGGCTGGAAAGAGCTACATTTACAGTTACATGAAAAGGGGAACTTTCACTGGGATTATAGGTGGGAAAGGAATAATCTCCCCACCTTCCAAAAAAGTGGTTTCCCCAGTGTGCTTGCTATTATGATTTTGTTATGCTGGTGTAGTTGAAAATGATGCATTTAGTGATAAATTTATTTGCTAATGTTTACAAAAAAAATTGGTGGAGGCATATTTATAATCATCATAAGCTGTTTTGCACAGTAGACAGCATTTAATGTATATTACACCAAATTAAGACTTCCTAAGATAATAGGAAGGAAGAAGAAAAAAGAAAAGCTCTATTTATAGAAATGTACTATATCTTAGTGGTATAATACATAGGACTTATTTTAATGTATACTTTAATTGTTTGTTAAGAAGATGACTAACTAGGTTATTTTTATGATCCAAAACTAACAACAGGAGAATAAGTAGTTTTATCTGATATTTACTTGTTGGATTCAGCACTGCATTTTCTTCATTATAGAGTGAAGAAGGGTTTTCCTTTCTTGACTATACCAGTTGCCCAATCCATCTACCAAGAAGCTCAAATTTATCTACAAGAATCTAGCATTTTGCTGTTTACTTATTTTGAATGGAAATTGAAATTGGAGAAAGAGAATATATTTTTTCTTTTTACGACCGTTTAATTACTTGATTTGGAGTGGAGTTGGTGCAATTGGATGGAGCTGAGCATTTACTGGCCAGATGCTTTTTCCTGACTCCTACACAGAGCTCACAGCAGATATTTTCTCTTTGCGCCTGATAGAGAAACATCTGCCACTACCTAGGATTGAACTCTCAACCTTCCAAGTGGGAGGTTAGCATCTTCACCACTAGACCACCAGAGGTGAAGTCACTTGCCTCCTACTCAGAAGGCTGAGATGAGAAAGAGAATATATTACCATAAACAATTTGATACAATATTTATTTTATGAGAAAAAATAAAGTACCCGAGAAATTATAAAGGAATGCTTATGAATATTGTTAGAATACTCATTTACATAATTTTCAAATCAATTCCCCGTAAGACACAAAAGACCTTTTAATTCAGCCTTGCATTGTGTTTTCAGACACACATTTCTATTATTCAGACCTGCTTTTTCTCTTTAGCAAAAAAAAAGTATTTATAATTCATTTACTGAAGTTAAGTTTTCAGGAAGAGAATAAAAAACACTCAATATGGAGATCTCAACCATGCAATAGAAACCTCACCCCTTTATAACATACATCAGAACCACCATCTATGGTGAAATGGTAGAAGAGTTTTTTAGGGAAAACAACATGTTTGAGAAAATTGAAAGGTAAATTTTATCAAAATATTATTTCCATCTGACTTCCATCACCTGCAAAAGGGGATCCAAAACTCCAATTTTTAGTGAGTGACTAGGCATGGGTAAATATATCTTGTTAGAAACAAGGAGAATCAAACTGACTTTTAAAATATTTAATATAGTCAATAGGTCAACAAACATTTTTTTTAATAAAGGACCAGTTCTGTGGACATAACTGGCATGTCTGCTGGCCAAGGAGCTTGGCAGCCATTAGACTGAGCCAACCAAGCCAGCAAGGAAGCTGCTGATACAATCCTGCTTGAGATGTTCCAGCTAACCTTGCCTATTATGTGCTTATTTAAATAACTTGTATGAAAGGTAAAGTAATTTGCTGGGATCACAGAAGTTTCTAAAAAAAAGTTTTTTTTAAAAAAGAAACATAACACATCTGTTCCTACTGTCAATTTTGGCTGAACATAAACTAACTCAAATATACTCTATGGAGCGAAAGAATTATTAAAATGTGAGGTAGAATATTTGAGGCATGTCACTAGAAAAGAGATAATGCACAATATATGTTAACAATCGATCATGTTTCAGGTGTTTTAGTTTAATGTTATCCCACCCCATCTTTGGTCATTTCCTTGTAGTTATTCCTATTCAAAGATATTCCTCATTTATGAACTGCAGTATTTTACAAACGTCAACCTGAAGATTATGGGAATCAGAAGGTGGGAAAAAGGGAAGAAATTACATTTCCAAAGCAGGGAATTTGATGGGAGAGAAGTGCCTGTCTTACTTGGTTTTCAGACTGCAAAATCCATTAGTGATAAGATCTGGGGTTGGTATCCCTGCAGTTCTTATTTCTAATCGCCAGAGTAACAAAGTCCACACACACCGCTAAACCATTATATTATTTATAATTATGTTTGAACCAGCCTTTCTGGTTTGCTTTTTATGTCAAAGGCTTTCCTATATTGCCTGATGTGAGAGGCTCCCATTTCAAACTCTGGGTGGTTGACATTTTCTATACTTAGTATGGATTCCAGATTTCTAATGTCATTATTAGGACATTATTGTGCCATTGACTACATCATGGAATAGAAGGGATTGTCTGGAAAAATAAATTGTTGGGAGGTTTCCTTTAAAAATTGAGTAATAGTTCTTAGAGGAATTTTGTGTCCATTAAATGCCATCTCTAGCTTTTTGAAGACAATTGCCTCAGATCCCAGAAGTCAATCTGCTTTTACAGATAGTCCTTGAATACAATAATTCACTTAGTAACTGTTCAAAGTTACAATCTCACTGGAAAAAAAAAAGAGTTATGACCATTTTTCACACTTATGACCATTGCAGCATTCCCATGGCCATGAAATTTACATTCAGACACTTGACAACTGAGTCACATTGATGATGGTTGCAGTGTTCGGGGGGTCATGCAACCACTTTTATGCAATCTTCTGACAAGCAAAGCTAATGAGGAAACCAAATTCATTTAACAACTGTGTTACTAATGTAATAACCGCAGTGATTTACTTAACAAATGTGACAAGAAAAATCGTGCAATGGAGCAAAACTCACTTAACAACATAAATTTATCACTTAACAACAGAAGTGGTAGTCAGCCGGTTTGCACCAGTTCTCCGGTCACTCAGTTGCCCCGCCCACCCAATGCTCACTCGCTCACAAAGCTCACCGACCCACTGGTTGCCCCGCCCAGTCACTCCTCCCTATGTGGCACACTGAGCCCTCATGGCTTGCCTAACCTGATTTACCCACGTGCTGCCTGAGCCCCAACTGAACAGCCCTGATCTGCCTGCTCACAAGTAAGCCTGCGAGTTGTGCTAGGCCCTCGCCTACCGCCTGGGGCCTTTCCGTGCCTCCTCCCCACTGCCCGGGACCTTTCCGGGTGGGAGGAGGCCAAGGTGGGGCACCGTTTGTGGGCCGGGGCAGGGGTGGGGCAGCAGTGGTGGCAGTCCGACTATGGGAAACAGCCCCAGGAGTTCCAGGCTTCCCTTTCGGGGCACCTCTGCACCCCTTTCCGTCCCAGCAGAGTGGAGAAAAGAAAAGGAAAGCCGTTCACTTTCTTCCTCCCTTTCGGGGCACGTCCACACCCCTCTCCACCCCAGCAGAGTGGAGAGAAAGAAGGGAAAGCCATTTGCTTTCTCCCTCACTTTTGGGGCGCCTCCGTGCCCTTCTCCCATACCCGTGCTGCCGCTGTCTCCCCATGCCACCACAGCTGTTCCCACCACCACCACCACCGCTGTTGTGCTCCGAAAGGGAGGCCGGGATGTCCTGGGGCTACTTCCCATAGCCATGCCCACCCATGTGCTTTGAAAGGGATGTTCTGGGGCTGCTGCTTTCTTCATCATCCCACCACTCAATGCTCTGGAATTCACCCAATAATTTCTTCCCAGAAAAGATGTGTGTGTGTAAGAGACAAGGAAGGAAAAGAAGGGAGGGAGGGAGGACAAGAAAGAAAGAGCAAGAAAGGAAGAAAGAGCAAAAATGAAAGAGGAAGGGAGAGAAAGAAATAAAGAAGAAAAAAGAGAAAGAAAGAAAAATGGGAAGAAAGAAAGGAAGGGAGAGAAAGAAAGGAAGAAAGAAAGAAAGAAAGAAAGAAAGAAAGAAAGAAAGAAAGAAAGAAAGAAAAAAAGAAAGAAAGAAAGAAAGAAAGAAAGAAAGAAAAGAAAGAAAGAAAGAAAGAGGAAGGGGAGAAAGAGTGAAAGAAAAAAGAAGGAAGGGGGGGAGAAAGCTCTGCTATTATTTTTAATTGTTCCATTATTTATCATATATTAATATTTTGCACTGTCCCTACACCTAGGGTGATTTTACTGCCTTTCTTTTGCCCAGGTATTTTTCAGGGTTTACATGTCAAAAGTCCAGAGCATAAATACAGGTGCGTTTAATAGAGTTGAAAGGGACTATGGTGGGCCGCAGAGAAATCTCACCCCCAGAGCACCCGCACAAAGCAATTAATCCAGGCTGTGCAGAAACACAAGGCTGCGCCACCCATATGGCCCATGGGAACCCTCCCTGCCCACTCACTCCTTACCAGATAAACTTGCCTGCTAAATTGCTATTTTTCCTTTTTCCGACCCTCATCTGTTCTGCTGTGCGAGGAGATTTAGATTAGCTAGGAAGCCAGAAATGGTTGGATTTCTCTCTTTCTAGCTAGTCTATAGATCTTCGGCTGAGCACAGCCGAACCTCCCTTAGGACTGAAGGTTTGCTTGCAATCAAATTCAGTGCAGACTCACAGCAAGCAAATTTGAGAGACTGAGCTA